TGAAAGAGGAAACATTTCTCTACAAAATCCACGGCCAAATGATATTTTAACCGTGAAGGTGATGGAACGGCCATCAAATCTTTTACCGGGACCAGAAAATTTTTTTGGTCCCGATGCCCATCTCTAAGCGGAATAGAACGATCCGTTCCATTCAAAACTGGTGCGGCAGAACGAATCAACAGTGACTTCTTCACTAGTAATCGGTATCTGTGTTGTTCTCTTAAAAGAATGCGGAAGTCTTATCTTTCATTACGTGTCCAGTAGTGTGATAGTACTTTCCGCTTGCTGATTTTGACTGTGGTTCTTTTGAATTCTCTTTGATATTAGATAAAGTACTCAGCAGTTCCTCAAGATTGTCCTGATTTAATTGTTGTACTTTACGTTGTAATTTCCCAGTTTGTGAGCGTGTTACCGGACCCGATCGAGAGGTATTTGTGCTCATATTTTCCGATGTTACGGCTGTTTTCATTATTCCAAGTGGTCCACCTGGATTCTTCGCTTTAATCAACTTCTCCTGATCTTTTAGATGTTCTGAGATTCGAGTTTTTAGATGGCGACACGTTTTTCCTATATAAGTTTGACCATATTCACTACATCTTGCTTCATACACTAATCCTGATTTTAAATGAGTAGGTACGGATCTTTCCGACTAAAACCCAAGCCTACTTTAGATGTAACATCATAGACTATTCTAACATTTTTATTTGAATAAATTCCATTAACCGCTGCTACAGTGCTCTTTCCGTAAGACTGACTGCATGCTCCAAAATACGGTATACGAAATACGACACTTTCACTTGAAGACTGGTCAGTCAAAGTAGTGGATGTTATGTTCTTACCGTACATCGTAGCTAGTTGTTTGCCAATGATAGAATCGACAAAACGTAACGGATATCCATTTTTTTTAAGCTAAATTGCGAATGAAATCGAATTCTTTGTGGAGAGAACCGAAGGACGAGCAGATCTTCACAGCACGAAAAGTGATTGCATTTTGTTTATATCGTTTAGGAGCGAAACTGTGCCACTTGGTCAATAAACCAGAGAAAGTCTTTCTGATCATGTATTGATAATGACGTCTGCCTTAGACAGACGGGGGGTTTGCCAGAACTGATGACTCATGGGGGACGGAACAAAGAAATTGTCATGGTCATCCTTTGTTCCATCCCCCATGAGTCACCACCAGTTCTGGCAATCCTGTCTGCCCATCTCTTTTTTATATGCGCATATAAAAAATGTGTTCTAGAATGGTTATGAACTTTTCTGTCGGACTAATACGTCAAAAAAAAAGAAAAGAAAACAACTTGTATATATAGTTTTCAGTTTTACGTCTGAAAATGACCGTATAAAGGGTCGAAATATTACAAAAATAAAAAGTAAAATGAAGTTCAAAACAGCTGCATTAATAATTAAGTTGAAGATAATAGTCTAGTATCACGATAGTGGGAGGTTTGTTTCCTAAATTGAAAAGTATAACTTAAAATCTATTTTTGGCTGGTTGATCTAGAACCGAGAAGAAAACCTTTTTATAGGCTGACATATAAAATTTTCAAAAAACAGGAATAAACAAATCTTTGCAGCAGATTTGACTTTAGAAGTAATTGACTTTATATCCAATGCATGTCTCTGCTCTTGTCTACTTTATTTCTTTTAGATAATGTTTTATTTGTTCATCATCGTTTCGTTTTGTGCGTTGATGAGCTGTTTCCAGACAGAAGATCTAAATAATCGTCCAATAATCGGTAATTAAGAGCGTAAAAATATATCATAGGATAATACAGGCTTGCTCGTACACATGAGATCTGTGAGAAAACTAAACTCCTCTCATTCAAGTATACTTGGTTATCTATTCAATGTCAACCTTCCCACGTTTTTGCACACTAATCTTCTGATGCTTGTACTTGAAAAAGAAAGCCTCGCTCTGTATTTCTGTCCGTCGTATAAGAGCCAACATCTATAAAAATCACCGAAGGACAGTTGATGTCACCTAAATTCGATGATATGTTTTTTCATACAACTACTGAATTCCGGAACAAGACAAATGTTGTCAAAAATATTCCAATGCTAATCTGTAACCACAAGAACAGCATATTGTACGTTATCATGTGATGTCAATGGAGATGAAAGTAAATGAACAATTACTACACTTTGTAAACAATTTCCTAGAACCAGAAGAGCAACACTTGCAAGAATTAAGAACGGCTTTTCAATTTAAAAATACCATACCACTTACGAAGTTAATATAATAACAAAAAGTAGTATGAAGGATTTAAAAGTTAGAACAACGGAATCTGGTTTAGGTGGTGCCAATTGCCTCCTCTGTTTAACTCACCAAAATAGCTGGACAGATAAAAATAGAATAAATAACTTTTTCAAAATAACTCGAACAGCTCATGAGAAAACATTCCCAGCTCTCATTCCAGTATACTTCGTTATCTATCCAATGTCAATCTTCCCACGTTTTTGCACACTAATCTCTCTCTTCACAGTAGGCAATTTCGTTTTCTGATGTGAATATGTGCCAATATTTGTAAATAAAAAGCCTTTGGAAACTTTAGAAAGACACTTTTTCTAGGCTTTCTAATATTTACTCAAAAAAATTTCGCAACGCTTTTTTCCTGGTGTTTCAGAGATCCAAGTTTTCTGTAAAACTAAGTCATTAAAAAAGGATGGAAAATTTTAAAATTTATTTTATGTAGGTTTTCTAATATGCTGCCATTTGTGTAAGAAGTTGCGTCGTGTTAATCGAAATGCAGTTCAATACTTATTCCAATACCACCTAAGACAGCTTCTCTAGTTTTTCAATATCCAGGTTGCTCTATTTGTATACTGATGAATGATAGTAATACAATGGTGATTACTACACTCTAGAAAAAAAGGTATAACCGCCCATGAAAAACGTTTAAACAGTTATGGCTCAAATGGCTATACCATTTTCCGTACTTTAAAATACCTTTTTTTTTAGAGAGTGGATAAAGCTCCTATAGTCAAACCTTAGCGTAGCTCGTAGTCATATTTTTCCGCTTTATTTCGCTGTTCGTTTTCATTATTTCATATAGAAACCTTCTCAACTGTCCAATCGCTTTCGAGTCGAAACCTAGTGGATTATAGGTAATCAACCATGCTGATTCCAAAAATCAACATGAAATGAGCTAATAGACCTCCAGAGACCGATTTTCTGGAAAACTAGTTTTTCAGAAACTCTAAAAGATAATCAAAACATTTCTTAACGAAGCATAATTGTAGTTTGTACATTTCTGATTAAAACGAGACATCTCCCAGCTCTGCACGACTTTTCTTTGCAAAGTTATATAATGTACAAAAAAAAACCCTAAATTAATTTCTTATTTTTGTAGCTTTGAGGATTCTTCTCTTAGAAAACTAAACTTACAGAGTTTGTGTATTTGACATGATATGTCTTTTACAGGTATTTTGGCTCAACCAATTTCTGAAAAGTACCATTGGAAAAGTGAATCTCGTTCTACCTACATCGCAGCATCTTATGTCAAATATTTGGAATCCACAGGCGCCCAAGTTGTACCAATCCGGTGAAATTTTTTACCCAAATAAACACTTGATATTTTATTTTTGAAATTTTCTCGTTTTTTAGCATGTATCAAACAGTTGACTATTATCTAACTTTATTCAATTCACTTAACGGGTGAGTAATCGTTTGAGTTCATCTTATTAAATGTTCTTTTATTTTCATACATTTTAATTTTTTTACTAATAAAGGGTCTTATTTCCTGGTGGTGAGTTCACAGAAGAATATTTTTATGTTGCGAACCTATTTTACACGTGGTCAATACAAGTATGTCTGACAAATCTAGTTCGATTTTAATTTTACTGAAATATTTTTCTTTTTACCAGGCGTACGATTTATATCAAACAATATTTCCAATATGGGGAACTTGTCTTGGTTTTGAAGTACTTCTAATGTTAACGAAAGGCTCCACGAGTATAATGGACAACTGTATGGGTTATGATTTTGCTACTGAGATCACATTCATGCCTAGTACGAGAGTTGAGATTCATAGAAATCAAAGTAACTACAGTACTATTCATTTGCTTGACAGATGCAACTGATAGTAGATTATTTGGAAAAAACGCTCCGAAATCTGTTCTAAAATATCTACAAGAAGAACCAGTAACAGCAAATTTTCACAATTATTGCATGAGACCAGAAGTAAGTGTAATTATATTTACCGCAAAGTGTTTACTCAGAAAACGTTGAATTTCACTTCAGAATTTTACCGCAGATCTAACATTATCAAATTTCTATAAAATACTCTCCATAAGTGAAGATCTGGAAAATAAAACATTTATTTCAACAATTGAAAGTGAGAAAAGATAATTGCCTACAGTTTCTGTTCGTCTATACTATGATTTTATTGTTTATAGGCCAAAAATATCCAATTTTTGGTGTTCAATGGCATCCAGAAAAAAATGGATTCGAGTGGCGTCCAAATACGACAATTCCACATTCAAAAAATGCTGTAACTGTGATGCAGTATATGGCTAATTTTTTTACAGATCAAGGCAAGTTTATCTCTTTACTTTTCTTTCAATAGTTGCATAAATTTCGATAGCTGGTGAGCTAGAATCGAAAATTGAACTAGCGTAAGAATTGAAAGAAGAGGAAACACTACATACTATCTTAAAAAACTAATCTTGTTGTTTGTTGATTTTTTAGCACGTCAAAATTTAAATCATTTTTCATCAATCAATGATGAAATAAAATATCTAATATATCAATATAATCCAACATGGGCCGGATTCGACAAATCACATTTTCAACAGTTATATATTTTTAATGAATAATTAGTTGCTAATATTTCATTTGTTCTGAAATATTATCTTATGCACGTTTACTACATGTTTTCATACTTTTGTGGAAGTCCTTGACTATGTGACAATAGCCAAGAGATCATATTTAAATATGTCTCGTCGTATGATTGAAAATATTCATCATGAAATTAAAAAATAGCTAACGAGTAGACGAAGAGTAACACGAACATGAACAAATCTTAACGATCAACTAAATTCAATAGCAATGTATTGACCATGATGTATTTTGATATGTACCGATTGAGACTGATCAAGATTCCGATTGCTCTCTGATCCGAGGAGACTAAAATTTCGGTGCGGTAAAGAAGATCATACAGAAAGTCGCCAACAAGAACACTAAAGAGGTACTTTTAAATTTATGCCCCGTATTCTGTTTGAGCCAGTGGAACAACTAGGATTTTTTGGATACTCAGACAAACCTCTACAAAAAAAGTGGGCAGAACCCTTTTGTCACTTCGAAAAGTGACGAAAAAAATTCTCAAGCAAAATCATTAGAACAAGGAGGAACTGGCGGGCGCACTCTGATTTTCCTGATCAGAACCATTAATACCTATCACTATCAGATGATATTTCATTCGCTGTGGATTTAGAAAACAGTCAACAGTAAATGTTTCATTTACTTTTGGTATTCTATATATCTTCTTTTTTATTTCTGTATCTAACTTTAACACCGCTCTGATTTTAGACATTTATTAGAGGCTTCTGTCATAAATTTTTGTTCTCTTTTATTAAATTGATTGATTGATCGATCGGTTGCTCCTGTTGTACTGCTATGCTTTCTCATTATTTGAATATTTTATCATCTTCCGTCGAAAATGATCGTACGAGCCGGTAAAAAAGATAAAAACAGTCGTAGTTATTGCAAAAACAACATTATAACTTGTCTTCATTTTTGCTCATGCTATACTTTGAGTAAAATTTTGTCAAATCAATATCAAACGAAAATGTTTATCATATTCTTTTAAAAAAAACTTATTTCAAACTAATTATTATAATGAAGAAAAACTCTCATACATGGAATACTAATAATTGGATGAGTGACGCTTAAAGTAAGTTTACATCATTCACAAATCATTTCTGGTATACAATTGATATAGAACAGGTTTAATTTCCAAAATTTTGACCCCTACTACAGAAACGTTTTTCTGCAAATTCTGAAGTTCTAAGGATTTTAAAACATCGGCATGATAATCGGAGACCGATTTGACAAAAATGACTATTAAACAATTTTTTCTCTAAATTGTGAAATAAAAGATAAGAATCAAATAAATTCAAGTCTTAGCAGCTGGTATATTTTTTATTTGTCAGACTTTTTATTTGTTATCCAAGCTTCATTCATAGACTTAAAGGGCAATGAATGAAGCTTGGATGACACTTTTACAAATATATTCATTTTCACCAAATTTGGATCTTCGCCAAAACTTCACCCTCTAATAGTAAATAGTAGCCAAAATCTATCAAAAATATTTTTGGTTGATTTCGCAAGTGACTTTATCGCAAACAAATTTTTTGTCGAATTTTTGTTATCAAAGAGTGACATTTACTGAAAAATCACCCAAGGTAAGTCAAATATTTTCTCGTCAAAAACTGCATCCTACGTCAATAGATTTTGCCTTATCAATACTTATACGATGCATCTAAGACACAATTTCTTCAAAGAGCATGCTCTTTCCAGTCAAAAAAAGGTCAGAAGTGGGAGTATGAAGGTGCACTAGGTTCTCGGAGCACTGCTTTTGAGCAATGGAGCACTCCTTTTTATAAAATGCAGCCGAGGCACTGCAGAGCACTTCAAAAAAAGTGTAGTTTTTGAATTAGTCCTTTTGAGAACATGCACTTCGAGTACTAAAAAAGGGTTATTGAGATTACTCCTTATTTGGAGCACTCGTTTTAGGAAAAAGAGTAGTCCTTTTCTTTTTTTTGCAAAATGAGTGCTCCATCATACTCCTCTTAATATTTTTTTTTGACTGGGTTGATCAAGTTTTCATGGGCTTTCGTTCGAGAGTTTGGTAGTCGAAAGTCTGTAGAATTATTCTACTACTCCTAATCGATTATGTAATGGTTATTCTTTCCTATTATTTCAAAGGATGCGTCTCATTGCTCAAAAACATATATTTATCTTTGAACATAATTCGTAACCCTACTTTTTCCTTTTTTTTGTCTATTATGTTTGTTTGTTTGTTTTTACTTCACATTTTAACAGTATATATGTGATTTTATTCTTTAGATGGAGAAAAATAAAACCACTTTTACCTACACAGTTGTCCCTCACACTTAGAGAAATTCATTTTCTCTTCTGAAGGGTTTCAGCGGTAGAACAAGGCCATTTAACAATTCTCAGAAATTATAAGAATTACACAGTTTGTTTTGTATAAAAATTTATATGTGGTATGTTGAAATATGGTTATGAATGAAACTAGGTGTGCATCAATTTTTTCGAAACATTTAAAACAAATTCTCTAATTCTTTTAAAACGAATCGTAGAAACTCGCGAAATGTCTCATTTTGTAGACAAACGTTTAATACATATGTCTGAACGAATACGAAAAATTAAGATGTAAATACAAAGAAATAGACGACTGTCTTAATAATTAGGGATAGAAACTCATTTCAGTCTTATAAACATATTGCCAGTGTCTCGTATTTCTGAAATTGCGATAGCTGGTACTCTGACATATTGAAGAAAAAAAAAGTTTCAACTTTTTTTTTCAACTTTTAAATTTGACGTATAAGAAACGTCAAGGGAAATCTCAACCAGTAGGCACAAAAGTTTGTTAAAATATTCTATAGTTGAACTGAAATTATATAATGGCTATGTCCTTTTATTGGTAAAACCAAAGTTCATCTTTTAAAAGAAGTTAGTTACTTCGTGTAGTTGAGTTCAATGTATGTCTAGTAATTTTCCTCTCATTCTGTTGTCTTGTAATACACATTGTATATGAATTCAACTTCATTTAACAATATATAGAATCCCTAAATATTCTCTTTTCTACTAGAAAGACTATAAAAGTCAATTCTATTGCAAAGTTAAAATCAACAAACTCGTTTCGAAACAAAATATATATATATTTTTTTTTTTAACTTTTTTATGACTGCTTGACGTTTGATGTGACGTTTTGATACTGTGAGTATATCCAACCACAATATTTAGAAATTTATAATTACATTAAACTCATTTGATTATATTCTTGGATACTGCTGAAAAAAATGTTATTTGTAGATGTTTTTTTTCCTCTTTCTCCGAAATCTCATATAATCAGTACAAATAGCTATGGTATATTCTTTCGATTCGATGGTCTTGATTGAATCAAGAAACGTTCGTAAGAATACTCATTCCCTTTTTTTTTGAAAAAACTTTTCGATTTTGAGATGAAAATAGACTGATACAGAAGAATGTCTGGGAAAGTTTTAAACCTTTAAACTGTCGTTTTCCGTGAGATCTTTTTACTTTTTTTTTAATAACTGAAGAACAAATTAAAAACGAAAACGATGATTTGAGATTTGAAATATCGGTTCAGGCATCTGTGATAAAATTTTCGAAAAATTTTGTAAGGGTCCTTGTTGTGACATTTTTCGGCTCGTAGAAAACTTAAATCTATTTATGCACTAGGCGACAAAATGTTCAGGCGTATTCTGCAAAACGATTAAGCAAAACTGTACGATATGGATATCAGTTTCTATTAGAAGTAAATGTCAAAATCGATATTCGTTTTGTAAGTTACGAATTTTTTTTAGAAAGTACGAATCGTTCGCCGTATGTTCTTAAATTATGTCTGACGTTAAATATTCGGGACAAGATTTAAGTTTTAAAATTTTTCTAATTTTTAGATTTTTTATTCACTCTATAAATGGCATTAAACGTCAATAGTCTTAATTCAAATGATAATTATTGTAAACTATGTATCGAACAACAAATATTCGATCAGTTAGCAACCTATTTGTGTAAACATTGTCAAACGTCGATGTGCAATGAATGTTTTCATCAGCATACGTACTCAATATTAGACGAATACAATCATGTACGAGATAAATTTAAAAATATTTCAGTACAAATGCAAAATAAACGACAATTACTCGACACATTCAAAGGTCATTGTATAAAAAGTGTCGATCAATGTTTTGAGGAAGCAATCCAAGATCTTCATTCACTTCGAAAAGAATGTACAAATTATGTCGATGAACAATTCAACAATATGGAAGTAAGCAGAAAAAGAAATTCAAAATTTTACTACATCTTAAGCGCTCCCGCGTCCTGCTAAAAACACAGATATTTCTATAAAAAGTCGATATCGGACTTAACACATGATCGGATTGCCCACGGTGTCTATCTTTCTAATCTATTTAGATTTTTTTAGAACTTTTTTAAAATCCCTAAATAATTGATTTTTTGAAATTCCGATATTTCGGCGAAATATCAAAATAAAAAAGGATATCAATGATATTAATTTGTAGATTATACATATTTCTCATTAAAATGAGACGTCTTTCAGTTCTGAACGATGTTTTGATAAAAACATTATGACAGTTTTACTAGGAGTCCTAATATCTGTACTAACGTCATCATATCCCAAGAGAAGCTTACTTATGAGCGATGAACAACGTTGCAAAGACTTCTCTGTCAGATTGAGTTCTAACAGGCTTAGGGAGGTTTTAAAATGAAGCTCAGACTTAATGCTACAACTTAAAAGGACAGAGTTTTTGATTTTCCGCGTAACTTCTGAGCAAATCAAGTCTTCTGAAAAGCTAATCGAAACTTTTCAATAATCCGAGTATGCTAAGATCACCCTGGAGTCTCTATCCTTTGAACTGAAGAATAAAACGTTGCCATACAAAAATCTACTTTTTGACCCTTATTTTGTGAAATATCAAGCATTTTGATAAGATCCTGTGTTCTAAGATAAAAACAGATTTCTACAGGGTGGCGGAGTTCAACTAAAATTTGAGTTTTCATTTATGAGCTAAAAGTATTTTTTATAGAATCACATCCAAGTGTATCATTTGTCTTCTTTCCTTATGTGAGAAATCATTAGTCAGCTGATCCTTCTTAACCTGTTAGCACACTATCAATTGTTTGATTTATTCTAATTTAGAATGTTATCACTGAATTTAACAATGAACTGAATCCAATTACTGAAAAACTTTCTTTAAATTGGTCACGAGATGGTACAAGTAATATTGCAACGCAACAAATAAACAATCGGCAAAATGAACTTTCTCTGTTCGAGAAAAAATTAGAACAATTTACGCCTAATTTAGAACTAAAAATTTCGACAATGCCGCGAAATTTAATCAAATTAAAATGTGCTCTAATAACAAATACAAATAAAGATGAACATCACTTTATACCAAAGCAAGCAGCAAGATTGATTTTAACACGTTGTACATGCTACACAACAGATACAGGTGATAAAGTTGACGTTGAAACGCAAATGGAAGAACTAAGTCCTGTAGTAAGTTCAACAAAAGACGTACAAACTGATACAAAAATGGAAGATATTAATAAGTATATAACAGCAGCTGGTCTTATTTCATCAGATAATGGTGACGATGATGACGATTTTTATTCAATTTATGATGAAGGTGAATTAAATAATAAAATTTCTAACGAACATTTCTCAAGTAGTAAATACGAACAGTCAACAATCGTAACACAAAATGAAGTTGATCGTATTGCAAGTGATGGTTGCAATTTTCTATACTTTTCTGACACATGCAAATCGTTATGTTATGTTTATGAATTAGTGAGAACATCAACAATGACAACGAAAGAAATTACAATTCATTGGCGACATAAGCCCCTACTCGATCTTATTTGGTGTGATATGAGAAAACAATATTTATGCGCAACAAAGCAAGGAATTTATTCTTGTGAGTGTATTACAAACGATCACAATACTATTGATGTTAATGAAGAATTAACACAAAATTGGTCTTACGTTCGTTTGTCAGCTATTGACGATACATTAGTCGTTTGGTCTGATACAACTCGATCGAGTGAATTAAATTTCTATAATTCACGAACATTTGAACATACAAAAAGTTTCAATTTACAAGATTATTCAAGGTTTCGTGATAATAGTACAAGTTTTTGTGTATATAAAAATTCAATTGCAACATTATTTCAATTTAAACAACATTATAATCAATCAAGTAAAAAAGTATTTCATATTACTTTATGTGATATGAATTTAACAGAAAAGTGTACTTTACTACTTGGCGAATGTGATATTGATCATGAAATTCGTGCAGAGACTACATCAGGAACATTATTTATTACAAATGGAAAAAAAAAATTATGGATTGTTAGTGATAATGGTACGAAAAAAGAATATGTTCGATTACAACGCATCGGACGAGCATTAGCTCCATTGAAAGACAAAGTATTAATTGCCAATGGTACCCAGGAATTACAATGTATCACGTTAAAGAGAACATAAATATGACTTGGTATATTTGGATTGTTTTACTGCTTTTCCGAATGGACCATACAATTAATAATTCGTTTCTAATGTAAATTGTTTTTTTCTTTAGAACATTTTTTTAGATAATGAGTCATCATTTTTGTTCTGTCCTTTATTAGAAGTAGTATAATGCAACTTTACCCACATCCCTGTCATATGTTTTCGATAATGATTAGTCACAGTTATCGTCTTTTTATAAAGTGTGTAACAAAATGCTCAATATCGTTAGAAATTTTGATCCTATCTATGGTGTGATCTAATGCGTTATATAAAATTTAATAATTCCTTATAAAATTTTTAACAAGTACACGTTAGAGAAGATTTGAGATCATCTGCATACTCTTCTTTTGAGTCGAGTTATAAATATCGTGACGTGAACAGGCAATTCAGTATACTCCTGTCATCAGTGGCGGATTTAGGGTGCTGACGATGCTGGCGGCCGCCAGTACCGAAATTTTTGATTTCATACTATTATACTCTCCTTCTAATAAAGGAAAAAGAAGTATAAGTCGTGTCGTCTAAAAACTCCGAAGTAAAGTTGCTAAACTTGCTCTTTTGTACAAATCCACCAGCACCGAAAAATTTTTCGAGATCCGCCACTGCCTGTCTGATAGCTGGAAAAAATTGTCATTATTGAAGACTTTTGAAGAGCTTCCGTCTTTGACTGAAAAAACATAGAAAGAGTTTAATTTCATACTACAGAGGAATTTTACAAAATGTACTTACTTTTGAGTGTCAACTTTTTCTGTTTTCTAGCAATTAATTGATGAATTACAAACATCTAGTCTGGAAATCTTTCTTCTTGTGGATTCAAATATAACAAATTCTCTGATGCGAGTGCTTCTAGTGATTATGAATTAGATTTGAGTATGCTTGAGTACTCCACCATCTCAGTACATTTTTTAAACAGGTTCAAGTAATGTACAGATTAATCACAAACCACAGGGATGGTGTTAAATGTTGCTAGTCACGAATCGTAATCTTATTCAGTAAACAATATTAGATAAATGAGCACCAAAAGAGAAAAAATGCTCGTTGAACATTATTTTCTTTTAATACTTCATGTTTAATCTCGAGAGCAGCATTATGAAAAGGGGCCCAAATAACGTTGTTCTCGTTCAATGTTTCATTGTCTAATAGTGTATGCTCAATGTACCAACTTCTCAAAAATAGTTTGATATTAGCGGCATCTAAACAGAGGAGTCCGCTACCTACTTACATAACGATTGATTATTGCTCAGAAGAAAAGCAAATAAGACTGTTCAAACAAGAAAAGGTTAAACTCAAACTGGGAATTCGGGATTCCAGAAAAGAAACTGATATTTAACGGACAGTTTTCTGTCAAAGAAAAGAAATAAAAAACCCTGTTCTTTAATTAAAAAAAAAATAACTGAATTCAGGTGTAGCTCAAAAGAAATTCTGACTTTTCTCAAATTTCAAATGTTACTTCCTATATGTTCATGCTGGATACATCTTCATCATTGACTTTCGCTTCCTGAACTTGTGTACGAATGTATGAACGTTTTACACTGCAACTCATTGACCTTTATCGAATCGATGCGTGAATATGGTTCCGTCGGATTTAGTGATCTCAACAGTCGCACTCCTCTGATCGAGAAGCCCGGTCACATCATTTTCGTTCCTCCTTTCACAGATAGGAAACAATCATTACGAGTGTCAGGCTCTCAGAACACGAAATATTTGTTTTCTCTGACGATGATGAGCTCTCTCTGTATTTGTTTTCGTGTTTACATTCGCGATTAGGTAGCAGGTATGAGTAGATGAAGAAAAAGAAAATTATCAAATTGAATGGGATATCCTATTTCTCTCTGATCGGATACAGTATTCTCATGTGAGTGTTTTCTGGTGCATTAAAGAAGAAAATTTGAAATGTGAACTGAGAAAATAGCTGGAAATGCTTTTTTCACTGTTGTGTCAATATTGATGGACTAATGACCAAAACAAAAAGTTGTTCATGAACATGAAGGGCCACAACTAGCGGAATGACGCACATCCCTCGAATAATTAAAAAAGTTGTTGTTTTTTCATTCTACTTTCTTTTTATGAATTTCACACTGTCAAGAAGCAAAAAATTTTTTTACACCCTCCCTAATATTCGACTTCTATTTACCGGCCTACAAGAATACATAAAAAGGCAGATTTGAATTTGGTTAATAAAGCAGCGGTTTAATTTAACACCTTCAGTTTTCTAAAGCTATCGAATAATTACTGGCATAATGGCAACAAAAGACAAAGATTCGACCACGATCCGCCGACAATGTTCGAATTTTGCATCTCTGACCATCACCGATAGATTCAACGTTACACTGCTGTCATTCTAGATTCAATCCTCTATCGTTTGACACTGAGAACACTGATTTATAGAATGAACATCAATTCTGCGCTGTGTTTTCTCGATTGTTTTTATTTTTTTGAAGTTCATATTAAGAAAAACGAACGAAAAACCATCTTGATACTTGTAACATTTATACTGTGCATTTTCCGGACAATACTGCTTGTCAACAATTTGAGAAACTTGGCAAATTTGTCGAGCAAGACGTCCCTCTTTTTTACCTGAAGATCGTACCATAATTAACGATATGTCGACACTTTTTCAACATTAAGATTGAATAGTCTTTTCGTATCTTAATAGTTTAATTGTAAGGAAATTCTATAAACTGCATAGTTTAACAAATAATCGGCAATCTACAATTGTATTTTTTATACATTTTAGATTATTATACTCAAATTTTAGTATTTAACCAGTTTTCCGCATCAGCAATCAAATCAAATGGCAACAGAATATGCTAGTAACCCGTCAACTGAACGTGATCGTAACTGTCATTTGTGTTCATTAAATTTCAATCGTACACGTGCTTCGCTATGTCAATGTTTTCATTGTGATCAAAATTTATGCCTAGAATGCTTTACATTACATAAAGAAAAATTGTTAGAAAAAGTTTATAATTTACAAGATCGTTATAATGAAATTAATGAAATAATAAAGGAAAAACGACAAGAGATTGTTGATTCATCCACATTTTGTATGGACGAAGTTTTAACATGGTTTCAAAAATCAATAAATGATCTGTTTGAATGTCAACAACAAATTATCGAAAATATAGAACTCATACGCGATGAAGCACAGGTATACTCTTTATAATAGTGATGAGTGAGTTCTGAAATTTTTTATCATTTACTTCTAGTTAATGGTCAATTATCGTTGATGATTTCTCTATTTTAGATAAAACTAGTCAAATCCAATGAACTACTCCAACCTCTCGGTAAAGAACTCCATTTGTTAACTCAAAATAATTCTTATGATACAGCGAAGGTCGAACAAATAACAGCAAAATTAGATGATACTTATAATACATTAAAACATTTCAGATTAACGAAAGAAGTCAAAATGCCGGCAATACAAATGTTTTTACCAAAATATAAAATATCTTTTTTAACAGAACAAAAAAATGATACATCATCAAATGAATTAGAAAATTGGAATGAAAATACTGAAAGAAAAGAAGAAATTTCATTCATCATACCAACTACAATGACAAATCAAGTTGTTGAACGTAAAGACACATTAAACAAACAATTTGTTGATTCTCAAATCGATGTAGTAGCAGATAATTTTTTTGATTTACAATGGGCTACAGATTCCGATTCCAATTCCGATAGCGATACTGATATTGAACAAGACGTTGAAACAGTTCATGATAACGATGAAGAAATGGATGATAATTTTTTTTTTGATCATCAACTTTATCGTTTAATATTACCTCGCCATTATGATTTTGATATTCGATGTCTGACATCAAACGGTACCAATATACTCTGTTATTCACAGACATCAAAGAAACTTATTTATTACGATGACAAAACGAACAGACAACTTACGATCGATTGGCATCATAATCATCTCATACATCTGAGTTGGTTAGAAACTATTGAAACATATGTAGCATTGACACAAGATCATGAAATATATTCGATTGAATCAAATAATAATAAACGTTTAAAAATTAGATTACGTCATCATTTACCGAATAGAACAGACTTATCATTGCCAGTATTTATGCGAACAGATGAAAAATATATTTATTATTATTACGAAGATCAAAGAAGAGAACGGCATGCAAAATATTTACGTTTATTAAATTTAAATTTTCAACATGAACGAGTTTATCCACTAGATAAACGTTTATCAGCAAATAAACACATTCGTCATGGAGATATAGGACAAATAGTTGGTTTAGCGGTTAATTATAAGCATATTGTTTTGCTACAACAGCATGAAGAACAACAACATAATGAAGATGAATGGGAAGATGTTGATGAAGATGATTGTTCAACATCAGGTATGATTCATATAATTTATAATTAATTGAAAAAATGTTGATAAAGTCATAGATTTCAAATAGTATTATTAGTGAATAGACATGATATATTTCATACAAGTTAAAATACGTTCAATAAAAATATTTACAAATTTTTTGCAAGATTTCGATACTAATCAAGTATCATCAGCGGGCAATATAACTAACTACTTAGAAGTGAAATAAGAGAGAGACGTAAGCACGATCAAAAAACATAAATAATGTAACTGAAATCTAACTCAATCCAAATCTATTCTTTTTCCTTTTTCTACGCTGATACAGGTATCATAGTCTGTCTCTAAGAAGATGTCAATGTAGGTCAATTTTCTGTGCTTATTTGTTAAAAGTATTTCTTTTAACTGTCATTTTATTTCATGTCGTGCATAAATTCTCCGTTCATCCAAATTCAATTTATGATTATTTTGTGTGACATGAACCACTGTTTTTATATCCACGTCTTCTTATATAATTTTTATTCCATACTATTACATTCTTAGTGTTACTTCATTACTGGTTTGGTTTTTTTTCTACATAAATTTTCTCACAATCATTACAACTGATACTGTACACTTCGCCAATCTTTGCCGTTGTATTGATCTGTGAGAATGATCTTTCAATAGTTTTATATTTCCTAAATTCAAATCAAAATATCTTTAGCAATCATTTGAAAGTGAAGATAAATTTCCGTAAAATTTCTTTTTCGAGATAGTAAAAAGAAATGTTTGCATCAATTTTCTCCTGCAGACTCTTTTTGACTCTCCTTATCCGAAATGCTTTTATTTAACGTATTTTCAATTGTATCAAATATATTATGTTTCTTCAAAAACATAAAAAAACCTAGAAAAACATCAATGTTAGTGAATAGTTTTCGCATTTTGTACACAAATTCTTCGAACTCTATCTTATAAAAGAATGTTCAAAATAGAGCAGGTAAACATCATCTGTAATTTTTATTTTCTAGCTAATAATTACTCAAAACAAGCGTCATTATTAATAAACCAATACGCGCATAATGATGAAATGCGTTTGTTAATATTCGATAAGAAAAATATGAATTTTTTACAGCGTCTTATCATTGATGGTTACACCGATAAATCACCAGTTTTTCATTACAATAGTCCAAGTTGTTATTTTTTGATCGATCAAAGACAATTAATTTTGAGATTTTTTAATAAAAATAATGAAAGTGGAGAGGTTAAATTAATTCCAAGACAATTAGTAGTCACAGCTTCAATCAATGCACCTAAGACAGATTTTTTATGTACATCCCTTACGCTGATGAACGATGGTACTTTATTGATTACAAATGATACTCCAGATGTGATTCAATTATCGATTGGTGAAATAGACATCTAAAAAAAGTAATTTATTTAGTAATTCGTTTTCTCTTTCCACTTTCGCATGAGAGTACAAGACTTAAATGAGTTTATAGTACAATCATCTAATTTTTTTCTTCGCCAGTTATTTTTTTGTGCTTATAGTCCGATATATAACAGTCTAAAAAAAATATTTTTTCTTTGATATATTTATATTACAAAACCGAGTTTTCAACGATGTTTATTGAAACTTCCACCGTATATGTTTCTATATAGATTACAGAAAGATTTTAATTTACGTTAATATTTGTTAATTGTTAATATTTTTGCTGTTTTCAGCTTTCTCTTTTACCTATAAAACGTATTTATTACCGGTGCAAAACATTCTCTGATACAAGAGGTAAGGTTTTTTGTGATTTTCTGTGAAAAGTTATACACTCCAAAAAGAATGTGTCTTAAAATAAGGTCCCATAAGTCGGATGACGATAAAATCGATCAAAAAGGTCTTATTTTGAGGTCTATGTATGGGTCTAATCGTCAATCGACTTATGGAATCTTATTTTAAGACCGATAAATTTATCTGTCTTAGTTTCCGTAGTAGTTCGAATGTTAAGCTACGCTTATCAGAGTGGATCAGTAGTTTCAATCTAGCTGTTGTTAATATTTTATAAGAGAAAAATGATAACATTCTAAGTGTATTTCATTGAATCCTCTGGTCTTTGTATACAAATAGTCAATGTGTCAATCAATACAAATAGTCAACCAATTTCTTGTACTTCAGACGGTAAAAATAAGACTTTTTTCTTTGTTCTTAGAAATAGGACAAATAGGTTGTTTACCTTGAAATAAGACGAAAGGAAAAAAATGTTAGGCCGATACAGGAGTAAAAATGGATAGCATAAGACGGATGTTTTTTACAGTATAACGGACTAGCGGAGGTACCCGATGTAGAGTGAGTTGCCTTGAACTTTTCCATCTTTAACAGGACCTTCCCCGCCGTGCATAAATTGAGATGCTTAGTCACACCGACTATATGATGTGAGAATTTAGTTTAT